TCGACGCGGTTGTGGGGTCTTCCTGGTTTTCCACATTAGACCTCAGGAGCGGATACTGGCAAGTTGAAATGGACCCAAGAGACCGCGAGAAGACGGCATTTTCTACTGGAGATGGTCTGTGGCAATTCAAAGTAATGCCATTTGGCCTTTGTAATGCCCCTGCAACGTTTGAGCGTCTCATGGACCAGGTCCTAAAGGGCCTGCCGCTCGATGTTTGCTTGGTTTATCTGGACGATATACTTGTGCACGGCAAAACTTTCCAGGGAGCACTTTGTAATTTGTCATTCGTATTTGACCGTCTGAGAAAGGCAAACTTGAAGCTGAATGCCAAGAAATGCGTTCTATTTCAGAAGAGAGTGCATTATCTCGGTCACATCGTCTCTGAAAAAGGAATGGAGACGGACCCTCAGAAGACAGAGTGCGTCAGAAACTGGCCTCGACCTCAAAATCAGCGCGACGTTAAAAGCTTCCTTGGACTGTGCACCTACTACCGGCGATTTGTAAAAGGTTTCGCGACAATTGCCAAGCCGCTGTACGCTTTATCGGAACAGAATACGGCGTTCGAATGGAGTGTACACGCACAAGATTCTTTCCTCACACTCAAGAATTCCCTTAGCGCCCCTCCAGTTCTTGGATTTCCTCGACCAGACTGCAAGTTCGTCCTCGATACCGACGCGAGTAACGTCGGTTTGGGTGCTGTGTTGTCCCAGATTCAGGATGGCTCCGAAAAAGTAATTGCGTACTATAGCAAAGTTCTAAACAGGGCAGAACAGAACTACTGCGTTACGAGAAGGGAACTCTTGGCAGTTGTAAAAGCCGTGACCCATTTCCATCATTGCTTGTACGGCACAAAGTTCCTCTTAAGGACTGATCATGCATCCCTCACTTGGCTTTTAAACTTCAAGAACCCGGAAGGCCAAGTAGCTAGGTGGTTAGAGCGGCTGGCACAATACGAGTTCAGGATTGAGCATAGACCTGGCAAGGGACATGCAAACGCCGACGCACTTTCGCGGCGACCTTGCTTGTCTGGCAACTGTCGCCCATGCCTGAAAAGCGAGCAGCGCCTTCCATTGGACTGCCAACCGTTGTCGTCCTCCCAAACGACTGCGTGCCCTGCGATGGTAGAACACCAGCAAGATGACCAAGACCCGACAAACTGGACTGCAGATTTTCTCCGTGTGCTTCAAGAAAACGACAGCAATTTGCAACCTATTTTGCAGTGGAAGCGGGTGGGAGAAGTACCCAGCTGGAACGTGGTTGCACCATACAACAGCGTCGTGAAAGCATACTGGGCACAATGGGATTCCCTCATTCTACAGGATGGATTGCTGTATCGTTGCTGGGAGAGCAAAGACGGAAGAAACAGCACGCTTCAGCTCATTTTACCTCAAGTCCGTGTCGACACCGTCTTGCGTGAACTTCATGACAGCCCTGCTGGCGGACATCTTGGGATATACAAGACCCTACAACGAGTTCGAGAAAGGTTCTATTGGGTTGGATCAACTCGAGATGTGCGCGAATGGTGTAAAAAGTGCGACCACTGTGCGTCGCGTAAAGGACCACCATCACGAAGCCGGGGGAGGATGGTAACCTACAACGTCGGTGTCCCGTTTGAAAGAGTGGCAATTGATGTTGTAGGTCCACTACCGAAAACGACACAAGGAAATCGGTACGTCATAGTCATTGCTGACTATTTTACCAAATGGCCAGAAACATTTCCAGTACGAACGTACGACGCAGACACTGTAACCAGGATCTTGACGGAAGACATCGTTCCAAGATACGGGGTACCACTGGAAATTCACTCTGATCAGGGTCGGACTTTTGAGTCGCAAGTGTTCAAGAGCATGTGTGAGACACTCGGAGTCAGGAAGACGAGAACCACGCCCTTGCATCCTCAGTCGAATGGCATGGTAGAAAGGCTCAACCGCTCACTCAAGCAATACCTTTCGCTCTTCGTTGACGAGCACCAGGACAACTGGGACACTCTAATTCCATTCTTCCTACTTTCCTACCGGTCAGCCGTTCATAGTGCGACAAGCTACACGCCAGCGATGTTGTTAATGGGCCGGGAGCTAAGGCTGCCTGCGGACATCACTTTTGGCACGCCAGTACTTCCATCGCGTGAGACAACACGCAGAGTTCTTTACTCTGACTACTCCCGCCACCTGCGAACGAAACTGAACTGTGTGCACGATTTTGCACGAAGACATTTGCACCTGAGCAGTGAAAGTGCAAGAACCCGCTACAACCGAAGCTGCTCGGGTCGCATACTCCAGCCTGGAGACAAAGTGTGGCTGCACCAGCCACGCCGCACCAAAGGTCGCTGCCCGAAACTTCAGCCCAATTGGGAAGGCCCCTACGAAGTTGTCAAGCGACTAAACGACGTCGTGTACCGGGTTCGGCACCTGCTAAGCCGGAAAGTTCACGTAGTTCATTTTGATCGGCTGGTTCCCTATCAACCTGACTGAATATTTTTTTTTGCACCACCTCGGGACGAGGTTCATGTGTTGTCGGGGGGCAGTGTTGTGGCGGTGCTGCGAATGGGAAGACGACGAAAAGGAAGACAGGAAGAAGGCGCGAGAAAAAGGACGGATGGCGATGAACGTTGAACGCCGAACGCTGGGATTTTAAACCGTCTTCCTTTTCGTCGTCTTCCCATTCGCAGCACCGCCACAACAGTATTTTATGATATTTAAAAATGACTGCACCTGTCAGTAAAGCTACCCGCACATTTGTGAAGTGCCAAGAAAGCATTTTGATTGTGTGTGGTGTGTCTCCGTGTCATCTTTTTTTTTTTTCATTTTGTGATTTTTTTTGTTATGTACTCAGCCTGTGTATGCTCCTGCCGCGGCCTTTTACTTGGCTGGCAGTTTTGTGAAATAAATATAATTGTGACCTTGATTTTGTTCTTTTTAACATAATTTCTGTGCTTGTGTATATTCATGGAGATTTTGATCTCGCATTCGCTTATTTTGCATTGTTCTCTGGGTGTGATTTGAATTATTTTTGCCTCATTCCCTTTTACTGAAATAACCAGCAATTGCTTGACTCGAGAACTAGGTGCTGCAACCGAGCGCTAGTTTCCAAGTCTGCACCAGGACGCTGGCCCAGGAGTCTAAAAGCAGCGTAAATCGCTATTAAACCTGATTTTTTTTAGTATGAACGAATAACAGAAAAGATACAGACACTCTGATAAAATTACAGAGTAACAAAACTAAACAAAAACGGAGTTTTCATTTCTAAAAACGGTTTCATCAAATAAAATAACGAAAATTATACGCTCGGAAAAGTAGCGGCACTGCGTAGCCCCGTAGCGAAAGGCCCGCGGTGTCGCACATTTTTACAGCATGCACAGAAATACGTAGCGATTTTTATCATTACTAGTACTGCAGGCAGCTTAAAAGTGCTAGCTTAGCGTCAACCACATCAACACTTCCCCGACTAGAAAGAAAATAGTATCTTGCTTTCTAGGCCGCCAAATTGTTTTTAACACCCGTAGGCCAAGACCTCCCGAAAGCTCGCCAAGGACACGTATTAAAAAGTAGTCAATCATTTGAAATCGTGGAGAATAAAATTGCAATTTGGCGGTTTTATATGATGATTCAAAACGACTTGCAATTCCTGTGAAGCCGAACACTAGCAAGACACTGACCTAATGCAACTCGGTAGGGACGATTATCCAAAGTACTTTCGGGATGCAACGTTGGACGAACAGATCTATAGAGTGGCTTCAGGGCGGTCAGATGCGAATGCGGGCTCTATATGAGGTCATTGCCACACTTGTATGACAAGTTCACACGATCGGCACCTCGCCCGCTTCCGCTGACCGAGACGTCGAGACGCTGGGGAAATTCCAGAGGGCGCCTCCGTCGCAAACCGGAAGTTAGAGGTGGGGTAAGAAGGGTTTTTAGAGGAGAAGGAAAAAGAATGCGCCACTTTTCCCAGATACAGGGACTTTAAGCTAAATACGACAACAGCGCCACTCTTTATCTTTTGTCTTTATTGTGGTCACCTTGAGCTTTTAGAAGACATGTTTTTGCGTAAGAACAACGGAGAAAACTCTTTTTGTGGTAACTTTTATTAGAGTTTAGTACAAAATAAAGGGCGCGTGATGTTTTCTGAATTCTCTAGTTTGCAAGGTTTGGCGGCACAATTAATATTGTTTTTATACGACCATGTCTCAACAGTGATTTCAGGTAGCGCGTCCCGACCTAGGCGCATCCTAACTTCGGTAGTAATTCGCGACGCGTCCGCTTGGGAGACGGGGGTGGCACCCCTGAAACCCCATCCACCGTATCTGTTTCGGCGCCAAAATGGCCGATTAAAGCCAAAATAGAAATCGCGTGCAGTTCCTCGAGTGACCACTGCGAAAGAAATGGCGGCGTTGGGATCGCCCTTAGCTCGTTTCTCGAGTACGGATCGGTGCCACTTTTTCAGAGCAGGCTCTATGGCAGTTTCCCAACTGAGTGGTTTTAGTAACGTTGGGCTAAGGCGAAACGACTTTATGTCAGTGTTGCCTGCGTCCTCCAAGTAGCTAACATGTTTGCAAAATATGGCATTTTTATGAAACTAAATACCATGTACGTTTTACTACACCATCGAAAAACAGGCGGAGAGCCGCGCTGAGCAGGCTTCCAGTACGAGAGAGTGGCAGACAATTTCAGGCTGATATGGGGCGCGAGAGTCGCACCAGCGCATCAGCATCAGCAACATGGCGGCGGCTTAGGAGTGTTTTTTGGAAAGTAGTTGGACTGCATAAAATAACCCTACGATGTTGCCTTCGCCTGGCGTTGCCTTCACCTGCATTGCAGCCTTCCTATACTCTGTATCACCTTGTGTTGTACCGCAGGAAAGGCTACGAGCGCGAGCTCCTTGCTCTAGGGCGCATCTCGGCGGCACAAGCTCACGTGCACCAAGGGCAGCTGCCAACGCTATGAGCTCGCGTTTCTAGCCTTCGCTGCGGTACAACATAAGGTGAAACGAAGTATGGTGCTTGCCCTTTCTCCCCTCGCCTGTTGCCTTCGTATACACTGCACGCAACTGGTGACACGGAGTATAATGAGATCGCCGTCCGCTGCGTTCCTCATAAACCCGATTCTGCCTATGACGGTTTGATTTACAAACAACTGCACATTTCCAGGTGACTTCTGTATAAGTTCTGAAGACAGGTAATCCAGAAAACTCGGGGATACACCAAACGAAGGAGTGCGCGTCGTTGAAAATCACACGCGCAATTTATCTTGCCTTTGTGCTCAGCTGAATTATTGATTTTTTTTTTCTCTCGTCACTGTTCGCTATAGGAATATTTAGCCGGAAATTCCAATATACGCAGAGGTTATCTCAGTGATTTAGATGACAATCTTCATCGTAGAATTGTTCGTCATAAACACCGGAATCCAGGAGCCCAGTTATACACAGCTGTGGCAGATCTGCTCGCAATTTTTTCACTCGCTCAATTAAGAAAAGTGGTCAATTAAAATATTACATAATAAAAAAACAAGACATTATACGATAAAGAATAATAGTTTATGTTAAAACGCGGGCATTTGCGGGCAAATGCTGGAAACACAATACTTGCGTTTGGTGGAAGCTCCAATAAATCCCAAAAGTCCTCGCTTCCCGCCAAATAGTGAATTTCTTTTGTCACGACTGTCCAAAACCCCCGTGCGCTCCAAATCAAGAGTTATCCTCTGGTCTAAATCCTTCCAGCACAGACTGCATGCAAGCAACACCTCACGAGGCAACAAGGCAGTAGTGATGAATTCTTTTCATCGCCAGTTTTCATCGTAGGTGGCGTTGAAAATTCAGCACTATGACCTTGTCATCTAGGAGGCCCCTGGTACAGGTATGGTGCCTGGAACGCGTATCCGGCTGGTGTGTTTACCGCGTCCAAAAACGGTGCTCTCTGGATTTCCACCCGATGACGTCATAGAAGTGTCACGGTGTCGCCGGCCGCGATCCTGGCGGCGTCACAGCAAGCGATGGTGGATGTGGCAGACGCCTGTTCTGCTGCAGGTCGCTTTCCAGCTTGACAGCCCACCGAAGCTTCGGCAGTCAGGAGTTGGAACCCCGCGACGACAGCGAAACTCGCGTCCGGTTGTGCTCTTCGACAGCACTTCTACGACCAACCGCCAGGTTCGCGACAATCGACAACGTGACACTTCGTTTCTTTTTTTTTTTTTTTTTTGACGTCATTTGTCTCCATTTCGGGACAACTTTTGATGCGTGAGCGGGATAAGACGCCAAAAACTCAAGTTGGAGACGCGTTCCAGGCACCATAATGCAAGTGCGTTTGAGAAGCAGCGGCTCTGCTAGACTCGCCAAATAGAAATTTGGAGCCGAAAGTTCGCGAAATGCCTCAATCGGACTTCGGCGAAAAAAAAAAAAAGAGTATAATCGGCGTGTTTCGTAAACTTCGGCTGCGACCTTGTGTTTAATGATTTTAGCGCCCCTGAATAAGAGAGCCACAACACTGAATTTTTTTCGGCGTCGCCTAAAAGAAAGCTAGCGCGGGACAGAGGCTGCGCACGAGTGCTTCGTCAGCCTTCGGCTGGAACTCGTGTTTCTACGCTGACGCAGTACTCGTGTCCAACCTGTCTTTAGATGATGCCGAAAGTTTGAATTCCATGGCCCCCTCTATACTCACAAAGCCTGGCAGTTCGACGGCGGCGCTATAGAGTACCCGGTCGCAGATTTGGAGCGCGAGGAGCTGGTAGCACAGAGCATCAAAGAACCATTTCTCGGGGAACCTAAACGTCAGCGCACAGCTTTTGCAGCGGCGAAGACCCGAAACACACTTGTTCACTCAGGAGAAGTGTGTTTCGGCGTCTCGCCGCAGCGGGGCGCCCTTCATCCGGCTCTCCTCTTATCCGTCGTCTGCCGCTCCACCTTTCCCATTTCGGCGGCCTCTTGTCGCGGCGATCTGCCAGGCTTTGTCAATATATAGGAGGCTATGGTTCAGCACTGTGGCTTTGCTATCTACATCGGGCGTTGGTTCCTATAGTCTGGAAAGACAGACGGGGTCTTCAAAGCGGTTCGTCATCGCCGGCCGCCCAGCAGACTCAGGGGAGTGGGCCTCGGTTGCTGCCTATTCAGCCAAAATTGCCAGACGGGCGAACTGTACAGCTTCGGCCCCAACTTGCGCATGTGACTGTCCAACTCGGTGTTCTCGACTTCCGTCGATGTGGCCCTTGTGTTCACGACCAGGTCGTAACGATGTAGGCACGCCTCTTCGGGGTCGAACAAGTGGCGCTGCGCCTAAAACGGGAGTTCAGAATGGATTAGTATAGAGTGAAGCCACATTAACTCCCGACACTTTCTTATACATGTGCTCATTTACGGGCACTTCGAAACTGCGCTAGCGTTAAAAAAAGAACGCCATTACACATATATATCTGGCAAACATATCGTCCGAAGGTTCGAGAAGCTTCCTGATTATCCTACATCGGTGTAATGAACGCAGAACGAAATATATGTCGCTCCCCCAACCCGGGGCTCCGCAAAATCGCTGCTCCGCAAGCGCGTTAAACTTTTCTTTTTTTTTTTGGTTGCAAAGGGGGAAGGGGGGGGGGGGGGGGCGGTTTATCGAGTAGGGGGCAGAAATAAACCATTTGCCCCCTAAAGTTAAGCAACTCAAGATATCTGCATGATAACAAACCAGCTACAATTCAACAAAATGCCACGTACGACACTTCAACAAAACAAAAGCAAAAAGGAAAAGTAAACAACAGCACACTCATACGGTAGAAGATAGTACTAATAAACGTCAGCAAATTTTAGTCGTGTTACAACTAAAAGCAAAGTAAAAGCCAAGATCTAGAACAGAATCTTATATACGTACCTCCGACACCATGTGATCAACAGCAACACCTTCAGATGAAGTTACAATAAAAACATATTTCTTTGAAATTTGCCATATACAGTGACTATGTTCTTGGTGCATCGATCAACATAAAAAAAGGCGATTTCACTACTAACCAGAAACCTTCTGCAATCATTTTTAAGACTAGAAGACATTTTATTAAAGCCAGTGTACGAATTCATTTAATTTACAGTTTTAGTTGATTGAAAAGTTGGCGTTTGTCAGCCATAGTTGGTTCATGTGGCCGCCATCCTTCGCATCGGCTTTTTAATCGGGTATGCACACAGGCTGTCTGCTGGTGTGGTTTAAAGTCTATATGTATGCATCCATTGTAAAAGTTTGAAGTAGTATACTTGCAGTATATTATTTCGGACTTTCAACGGATGTCACCCCTTCCCCGCCGTTGAGTAGTTGGTGGCGAAAAGAAAAAAAAAAAAGCGATACTCATAGTTCCGCCATATTTAGTTACTTTAGCCAACGAGGCGCCCCCTGTCCACTGCCCTGGGGCCATACGGATTTAGCGACTCACATCGTGCAGGCTGAAGGCGACTCGGGAGCCGGCCTCCATGACCAGACGCGCCTTGACGAGGACTCTGGACGTAAGTCCTGGAGGCTCGACCAGAGAGCTCCGCAGCACGTTGGTCTGCGTGATCAACTCGGTCGCCGACGGACGCTGTCCGTAGAACGGGTAGCTGAGGAAAGTCAGGGCGGTCGCCTTTGGCGCCGTGGCCACCAAATCCTGAAGGGTGGCCACTCGGCGAAGGGACACGAACTCGTTCAGGGAGGCCGTCAGCACGTACTCGGTCGACGTCGGCACGTAGCGCAAGATGCAGTCGTTGATGAACGCACCGTCTGCCACCTCTGAAATTCTGGACGTGGGCAGGCCTCTCCAGATTCTGGAAAAAACAAGACAAACTCGTTGTTTCTTCAAAAGAAGCGCGTCTTGCCGTAAAAGCTGCCTGCAATGCGCGTGCGCAGAAACGAACTTTTCGAAGAGCGACGCAATTGCGCATGCTTTGTTGGACAACCACACGTCACCGCCGCGGCATGATCTCAGAAATATGAGTTGGTGACGTCATAGACAAAAGTTGCGATGATTACGTCCTGTGCATGCTTTGGTGACGTAAAAAACGAATTGACGTCACAAACATGAGTTGATGTACCGCGGCCGGAGGTAAAGGAAAAGGAGATGGTCCAGGCTGGGGTCCCAACCTCCCTGACGCTGCCATATGACATTCATGTAGGCAAACAGTGTTTTTTTTTTCAGTTTTATTTGGCATTTTTACGCTAAATTAAAACAAGTTAAAATAGGTTTGACTTATGTCATTCTTCAAATTATAGTTTAAAAAATTAAACTTCTCTTGATCATTCTAATAAACCCGGTGAACACAGGATATGCGTCGTGCGGGCATTATGCGCGCGTTATGAATTGTTATGCTTGATTACGAGGAGCTATCGGTAGCCCGATGCGTTGCACGCACGACACATTTGCTCTCCTGATGTATCAAAATGTCAGAGAGAAATTTATATTTATTCAGAACCCATGACGTCATGATATCCTGTAGGGAGCAACGGATGAACATTCGGGCGCCTGCTTTGAGCAACGTTGGTCACTCAAGCTACTGCATGGGTTTCTGAATCATATAGACTTCGCTTGCGTTCCCAATGCCCCTTCCTCGTAACTTCCTCGTAACTCAAAAAAAAAAAAAAAAAAAAAAAAGCGTCGGGCTGCTTTTTGCACATGTCCGGGACTTTATTCCCGCCGCGTCGCTTGGGAAATCTCGCTAATTGCGATTAATCATACCGATTTATATATAAGCACGACTAGTTACGACTAAGTATGTCTTCTATATGCTTTGTATGTCAATGCACGGAATTGCTGGATATGTATGTTTTATAATTGGTCTGTATGTGACGCGTTACACTATAGGGCGTAACGTTTTTCGTATGAAATCCACCCCTTTTCAACGTATGCTTTGTTAATAAAACAAAATGCAAAATGATAGGAATGATCATTTTACAATGTAGAAAGGAAGGGTGACTTGTTGACTGCGTTCTATATTGGCATGTATTTCACAGTCTGATGGGGAAGGAGCTGAGGAGGGACTAAAGGAAAAGAATCAACATCTGCGAGGAACGTATTTGTTAAAAACGTGCAAAATTCAAATCGCAATTCTTAAAAAAATCAGTTTTTTTTTTACGAATTTTTGTTAGTGGTTGATTTGTTTTGTTTCTGCTTAGCATCTCCACAGAACTGCAAGCCGTTCACAGAGTTGTGTCTATAGGGTGCCTCATTGTTCCTCTTGGGGTGACTTTGTTGTTGCCGTTTCAGTTGCTTTAAATAGACCGATTGCACCAGCCAGTCCGGCTATACACTACATCTGCCGCAATGCGTTCAGGAAACTTCAGTCTTTTTGCACTTGCAACCACCTCACGGGAGCCCGGCGCGTGCAGAGCATGAGACGGCACGAGCCATCTCGTGCACTGCCTCCTGCCTCCTGAGAACTAAATTTATGGCGGCATTACGCATGCGCCGAACGTCTGGTGTGATTAAAGTCGCTGAATTCTGAGAAAGTAGCACCAAGGTCCCCGTATGAGCAGTTTCTCCTTGACCTCTCCGTTCTTATCAGGGGCGTAGCCAAGGGGATGGCTTATGGGGCTCCCACCCCCCCCCCCCCCCCCCCCCCCGGAAAGATTTCCTGGCTACGCCACTGATATCCAGCCAATCTAAAATTCGCAGTTGACAGATAGCATTATTCGCCTCACTAGCTCGTTGCTCGCCCTCTCGCGGCGGAAACGGGAGGCGCTCTAGTGAGGGTCCCCGGTTCTCCGGCTCAGCGGGCACGGCGGAACTGCTCGCGACCATGGCACGCCAGCAATCATTGCTGAATACAAACAACACTCTTCACTGACCCAATTTAGTGCTGGAGGCGGTATGTGATCGTACCTTACTTGAGAGTTTCAGTATTGTGCATAGAAACAAACGCAAGTGCTGTTCGTCTGCATTAGAGTTGCCTGCTCCGCACTGCGTGCACAGGCGCGTTATTGCTATGCGCCAATCCGAGACGGCAATTTTGGGCTTTGTGCGCTCGCACTGTAGAACACGCAACGCTAACGCTAACACGATGTGCTTGCACTCGCTCGTATAAGCAATGTAAAACTCACTAGTGTTTCACCGGTTTTCCAGCGCCAATGAAACGTACTGCAATGAGGAGACCTGTAAGCGAGTGTGCGCTCCTTCAACCTTGAAAGGCTGAGTTTGACAAAACGGCGGCGCGCAGAATGAAAGCAAATAAATGTTTTCAGTCATTTTGGAAATATATATAAAAAAACAAATCCTTTTTTTTTTTTTTTTTTGTAATTTGGGGCGTTTAGTTCGGAAGGATTGGCGGCGAATTTTGAAGTTCAAAAGTCGCGACTTTGATATCACTATATGCTTTACCCACAATTAATGTAATTTTACGTGGATTTCTCATACTAGATGGGATGTTTTAGTTAGTTTTATACTAGTTTTTTTTCCACCCTGGTGAAGGAGGAAGACCCGCGAAGCACGGTGGGAATGAAGTAATGTAGGCACGTAGCCAGGATTTTGTTTCGGGAGAGGGGGGGGGGAGGGGGGGGGCGCCCATGATAAAACGCTGTATGAGGGGGAGGGGGGAGAGGAGACCCCAGCAAAATGGAAGATTTTTTTTTTTTTGGGGGGGGGGGGGAAGGGGCGGGCGCCATGGGCCATCTCCCTGGCTACGTGCTTGAAGTAATGGCCAACCATAAGTCGGCAAGCCAGAGTGGAAAGACTGGAAAAGTTGCCGCCATCTATGAGAGACGGCGGCAATTAGACAACCGGAAAGATAGTTGTCTGGTTGCCACCGTCGCTCATAGATGGCGGTGGCTGTCCAGAGTTTTGTGTCATCATTTGTTTGCTGGCGTACATAGGGTGACCACCTTTTTGCTAGCGAAATGCGGGACACGCTGACCCGGGGGGGGGGGGGGGGGGGGTTGTTTGTAAGAGGAGAATGGTATTACACTTCGACTGCGGCAACTGCATAAAATAAGTTAGTGCGCAGTCGAGCTGTTGGAAGTTTACCATGCTGCTTTTTAACCCAAGACTGGAGCAAAAGGAGGAAACATTGTCTTTCCTCCTTCTGCTCCAGTTTCAAGTTAATAAGCAACATGAAAAAAAAAAACTATTTGATGTAATTTATCAACACACGCCACAAAATGTGACTCTGCTAGCACATTTAACACCCTGTTGTGTCCAAAAGCCTATTATATAGAAGCTTAAATAATATTCACTCCCAAGAATATATTTTAAGTTTAAATGCCACATATTTTAATAAATGTGTACAAGTTGAAAAGATAAACTCGACTGCAGCAGAACTCAATGCATGAAAAGTAAAGAAGATGCAGTAAATCTTGTACGGCTTCTTGTTTTCTGTCGATTCTTATTTTTACGGGGGATCGGTGGGCTAGCGCACTCCAGCTCGGAGCACGTGGAGCGAAAGCTCGCGCTGCAGAACCCAGGCAGCCTGGGTTCAGTCCCCACCCCTGCACATTTCGAACTGAATGAGCATCGTATCGGCGTGCGGTCGTGTATCACTACTGCGTGGTGCACGTTAAAGACCTCAGGCTAGCAGCCGTACTGCACTGGCTGAATTGCTTATCTACAGTGGGTCACAATGGTCGCCATGTTCTGGCAGACTAAACTCCTGCTGTATAAACAACTGACGACTAATTTGTTTTGTCTCATTTTAACCAACATGCTCCCACACGAATTTCAACCTTATGTTGTTTTTGTTCGTTGTGAAGTGAAGCATTTTTTGCCTTGTGTAATCGTCTTCACAAAAAAAAAAAAATAAAGAAAGCATTTTTCCACAGCAACACTTTCGCTTTGACACAGCATGGGTTGAAAATAATTACAATAATTTATTTTTCAACTTTTGTCGAGCAATCTTTTCTTGCAATATTTTGCCACTAAAGAGAGGGTGCACAGCGGTGGATGCGAGTCAGGTCTCCTACAAGAACGACGGTCGCTTCCCGCAATGCATGGATAGAAAACGGTGTATTATTGCGATTCACACGTTTACCAGCGACCACCACGCTTCCCCATGCCCCGTTGTTCGGCAGCTGAGTGAGTTGCGTAGTGAATTTGGGACAGTTTAAAATGCGGGACATTTTGAAGATTTGGGAATTTCTCGCGGGACGCGGGACACGAGCCCTCAATGCGGGACAGTCCCGCGAGTCGCGGGACGGGTGGTCACCCTAGGCGTACACGATCCTGGGGAAACTGTCTCTTAACAGATCGGCTGTAAAATGCTGCATTTAGCACCAGTGATGATGATTTGACAGCCTTGGATTGTCATAGTTCTTCGCGCGTTTGAAATGAGATCATAAGCAACAAATTATATTAGAGTTTGAAAAACTTTTAATAAAATATCTTAAATGTATTATTCTTGATACAAATTGCCGTAATCTAAATCCCAATAAACACCACAATCACACAAATATGCCACTTAACCAAAAGGTGTCATTTTGTTTTCTTTTAGCATATGAAAAACTGACATCTCCAGAAACACTGGATGTAATATACGTATGAAGTCCAATGCGTCACGTGTTGCCATAAAGACACACTTCTGTTGTCGAACTCGGATTCAATTTTAAGGTTTTTGGCGTTTTTTTTTTTTTTTTAATTATAGGATTTGTGGACATATAAGCTCATCACAGGTGACAATATTTTATAAAAGTTGGATTTATTTTGTTATTCTTGTGCTGGGAATAATATTAAAGCAATTAATCACTTAAATGCCCCAAAACCGATTAAAGGGCAGCAATTTAGAAAAGGCAGCAAGAACACACAAATATCAACGCTGATTTAAAACAAAAAAACAAAAAAAAAAGATTCTGTTATCTCTGAGGTACGTGTATGGAAGTTAAAGATACACTGAATACTCCATCATATATTTATGTTCCTGGATTGTCACGAAATAAAGTTTCCGCGAACAATTTTGTTAGGGCAATAACTACGCTGCGAGGCACATCTTGAGTTAGGAGAGAAACCGAAATTAACACCCGCATCGAGAAATTAAATCCAAAATAGAAGTTAATTTCGTTATTTTTTCCTGAATTAAAAAGGGCCTCCCGGCGCAAACATTACGCTAAACACCATTTTTGCTTTCAGGATACAAAGGTGACCTTCGCGCATAACACCCTAGCGTCCTCGTATAAGCGGGAACAATTTTTGTCTCGGTGAAGCAAGCACACAAGACAGGGATCTCCGACCCTCACTACACTCGCCATTTTGAAAAACTAAAGGCGCCACCTAAAAACAGTTGGAGTCGCGAATAGAGACGTTTATTGTAACGGATATTTTTCTATCCACACACCGGCGAAAAAAGCGTACGTCTTCGTACCGGCACCACATGCGGTTTCGGTGCTTGGGGGCATTGACAAATAATTTTCTTCTCTTGGAATACGCAAGGAGACAATATTGTAACACATTCGTGAAGATGGGCATGCTTGTTGGGTTGATTGTATACGCAGTGCCAAAGACGTTTATAGTGGCGAGGAACGCCTTCAGTACAATATGATGCTCGATTGCGATCTTGATGCGACTGGTTTAGAACGACCTTCTCGAAGCTTCGGAGATATGAAGGGGCCGAAATGGCGATTGCCATGGCAAAGGACACGGATCAGCCAATCACCTTGCGAGGGTTTGGTCGTCTGTATGTTAGTATATGTTTTTGCGCGCTAGCTACCCGGCAGGGAAGGCAATGGCGCTGCTTTCCTAGGATTCAGTGACTTAGGTGAGATCAATTTACTGAAGCACCAGAGTACATTGTCTAAACCAGTCTTATGATCCTTCGACTAGCGTCCCATCTGTACAAGCCCATCACGCATGCGCCCCACGGTAACTTCAACGAAAGCTTGCAATCGAACGTGCTGATACACACGAGTAGATACATTCGAAAGTGGCCGGAACAGAAAACTTCCCGAATCAATACGAAAGTGAAATTTTAACTCTTTGGTCGCGGAAAGTTGGTCCAGCGGGTAAGTGACCGACCACCTACCTAAAGGAGATGTTGAGGTGGAGACGGTTCTTCAAGTCCAGCAAGAAGTCGAGCACTTCGGGCGTGGCCGCGTACACGTAGAAGTAGAACTGTCGGACTCCCAGGACGCCGTAGTAAGCCACAAACTCGGCGACGGCTCGGACGTCGCTCCAGGTCGCGCCTGAGGGCGGCACGCAGAGTCCGACAGAGAAAGGCACTTTGCGCACGTTCCAGCGCAGGCGACGCAGGGTGAAATAGACGACCGGGTCGCTGTTGTAGTAGACAAGCGACGTCAGGTCGGGCAGCGGCTCGATGCCTTGTAAGGGACAGGTCACCAGGACGGACTCCATGTTCTCGTTGCCGAGTTCGCCCAGAACGTTCCAGGAGGCTTGAGAGGTCTCCAGTGTAGTCTTGTTCCTGCGCAGCATTCGGGAATGTGCAAATCACCAATAAAAACGTCATGCATGTCAGCTGGTTTGATCTCCAGGCGCGGAGGCGTTGTTCCTGCGTAACTTCACACTAAAAAGTCGACACGGAACAAAAGCCCAAGTTGAGTGGCTGTTTCCAGGCAGCTCTGGATCCTGAGCAAATGTAAGTGAAGTTACATCATGCGTAGAAGTCAGAATTTTTATGAAAGTCGTAACTCGCTATAACGTTCTGAGTCGATTTTTTTGCACATTAAACTATATATATATATACATATATATATATATATTTGACGAAAACATTAAGTGCGAGAGATGAAGTTGAGGGTGAGCTGGTTTGTTGCAATCGATGTTCTTTTGCAAGTAATGTGATAGATATGTTGTCGCTAGAGCTAATGATCAAAGCAGGGACTCTGATTTTTTATCTGACTTTAGTCTAGCCCAGGGGTGGCCAAACCGCGGCTCGCGAGCCGCATGCGGCTCTTTGCTGGTCCAAGTGCGGCTCGCGGATCCCTCGTAAAGGGACCCCCCCCCCCCCCCCCCTCTTCGCCCCTTTCCGCTTTTTCCCAGGAAAAAAAAAAAAAGATTTCAGAATAAAGCACACTGCAGCTTGCAGTTTGGCAGCCTTTCCCATACGTACAGTCGTACAGCCTTGTGCCCCCATACCTACAGTCAGACTCTGAACAAAATTCAAGTTTGAACCCCCCCCCCCCCCCCCCCCCCCGCGGCTCTTGGAAGTTCCATGGTTTTGTTTGCAGCTCTTAGGCCAGCCAGCCTGGCCACCCCTGGTCTAGCCAATAAGAAGGACGAACAGCACCCCACTTTAAAGGGGCGATGCAGCAATTTTTCTACTTTGCGCAAATACCGCTTAGAAGTTAGGACGAATCCCTGACGTTAATGACCTTTGAAGCACCCGTTCGTTTTTTCACCACACGCCATCGAAGTCGCAGAAAAAAATTAAAGAAAGACGAGCAGCGTTCATTCCCTCAACTCGCAGCCGGAACAAGCGGCCACGTGATCTGCAGCCGATTATATGCCGCCAATGATGATCATAGACACGCGCTGGGGTTGGCAAGGCACAGGTCAAGCGCCGAATTCCAGACATTGTTAGGGTTCGGCTACTGTCGTCATTGCAGCGATTGGACATACCCTTATGTTTCTCGAGCTATCCATTATCACGAGCCCAAATCGAGCGCCTACACAATTCTCGGGTCCAATCTACGAGCCGCATTTAAATATCGCCACTGGGCGGTACTGCCACCGCCCAGCTACATCATCAAGTTTTGCGAAGGAGAGATTGAGTGAAAACGCTCGCTTTTGTGTTTGAAATTACAGCGCAACAAAGGAATTTCTTGGCCAGTGGCGTTGCGTGCGAGTATCCTTGAGTCCCACTAGTGCCAGTAAGCTCATGTAAAGTGAAAAAAAAAAAAATCACATTCCAATTGAATACCGTTGCACTCCCTCTTTAATGCTCATGCAAAGACAAAAGGCGCGAACTCTTTTCGCGACTGAGATCGCATTGCTGCTGGAGCGTGGGTCTAACGGCACCTTCCTCGGTGTTTCATTTGCTCGAAGGAAAACAAACGGTTGGTGTTCTGAGTGCATCGTGGTGCAGCATGCACCCATCGACTTCCATAAGTGCTTTACCGAACGCCTAAAGGGGCGTGCTCAGTGGCGTACCAACTCGTTTTGGAGAGTGTGTGTGTGTGTGGGGGGGGGGGGGGGGCAATCCAGACCCCCCCCCCCCCTCCTCAGTGCCGGGGGGGGGGGGGGGGGGGGGGCGGTGCCCTTGGTATCTCTTGTGTGCCGCCGGCCAGTGTTTGCCCTGCCCAGTGGCGGCTGTTTCAAAGGGCAAAACACATGCCTTCCCCCCCCCCCCCCCCCAACTCTGAGAACTGGGTGGGTGGAGGGGGAAGGGGCCAAGCGCCCTCTTGCCCCTCCCCTCCGGTTGGTACGGCCATGGGCGTGCTGCTTACCAGTGCGGAGCGCAAGTCCGTCCGCATCTGGTGCGGAGGTTGCAGTGACGTCAAAACGTGGAGTTCTGTTTGGCTCCGATTAGAAGGATAGTGGGTTGACCTCGAGGCAGCTAGCATCGAGGTATACCCACTACCCTTTCAAACGGAGCAAATCGGAGCTCGGAGCGCATTAATTTAGATAGTGTCATAAAACAGACAACGAAATAACGGCGAGCGGCTCCTTTACTGAACACCTTTCTTTCCGAGTCAGGGCCGGGCTTCGAACGAGTATGAAATACCTTGCTTCCCAGAAGGCGCTAAGGGAACACTAAGATGTGTTGCATGCACAGATACTTGGTTGGGTCAGCCTGCCCGTGACTAGCGGCACGGCCTTTGACTTCGCATTGCAACTGTGGATGCAACCGACAGATCGAGAACCCATCCAAAATGTGACCCAATGATCGCTCACCAGCAAATCAGATGGCCGCCGCCAGCCTCCCTATCTTGCAGTGTCATGCCCTTTCGAAAGGCGAGGCGTTCCTTATCGACTGACCGCGCGCCCGCGCTACACTTTGTTGTTTTTATGAAGTACGGAAGGGAGCCGGGCGGGCGGGCGAGACTGGCGAATTATCCGGCCTTGGTTCCGCGCTTTGGCCGTCGGACGCCAGGACAGTTGCCGCCAAGATGCGCTTGAATAACAAGCCGAAACCAGAGTTCACCGTCAAGATTATATAATTAAAAAAAAAAAAAAAAAAAACATAATAAAATTCTTGGGATGCTTTATACTTGTCTAAAATGGGTTGATATAGAGGTTATTGATGATGCACAGTAAGTTTCTAATTGAAACTATGGCCTTAAAATAAACAAATAAAAGTTACTTTCTAAAAAAAATTATGTTTACAGCAAAGCTGTTTATAGCTAGGGTCCTGTGGATTTTTGATGTGCGTCAACAAAAACTCAGGTCCCAAAGTTGAGGCAAAATCGCTTCATTCTATGCAAGAGCTTATACGTCTCATCACTTAAATATGTATTTTCAGTAGATTAGTTATCAGAAGGCACCATTTTCAAGATCAGTACACTCTCAGGCAGATAATAAAGGTCCCTCAAAGAATAGCCGCGGTGCAACCCGCGTCGGCCATGTTTACGCTCGCACCGCCCTCTCTTTGTCGTCGTTCCAAGCGCTTGCGTGCCTAGTTTCCTTTCCTTCCGCTCTCCCCATCAAGACAATAAATGTGTTTGTACCTTTGTTCAAAATTCTGTGTCACGCCTGTGCCGTATCCTAAACGGCTTCGCTGGTAATCCACCTTTTTTAAACTTTTTTTTTCTTTTAAATAGGCTCTTGGGCAGACACCAATACGGCATCAACCTTTTTCTGTACGATGCGTAGTTTTTGCAGGAGTGATTGGGCCTGCGTTTTCTGAAAGACCCTGCATATATTTATCCCGGCCAATCAGGAGGTTATGCTGGCACGTCTTCAAAGTGGATTACAAAGCACAAGTGAAAACGCGCCGGTAACTTCCAGTTCCTCTTTAACGCGCCAACTAATAGTTTATAAAGCAATGCGCGTTCGGAAGCAGAAATTGCGGGCATTGCGCATGTGCAGAAACCCCGTTTTTTAGAAGCGCGAACATCTGCGCATGCTCACCGTAGAGTGCCTGGATTTAAGAGAGTTTCCAAGCGCTCGATCGGGGTAACGTGGTTTATGGGCCGCGTTTGCAAACACAACACTAGCAGCGTTCGATTTACCTACACCTCCTGCCCCCGCGCAGAAAAGTGTAGGGCGGTGTACTTCCGGTCGTATCTAAATACACATATTGGAAGTACAGGGTGTCACAAAAGAAAATTTACACGGTCTTTTTTACCGCAAAAATAAACTAGGCATCGCCGAACGCCCATTCTCCGCCCAAAGGTAGAGCTAGAGGTCACAACCAGATGCCAAAATTTCAGCCCGATCCGATAACTTAATCAAAAGTTATAAGTGGTTTTCTGAAAATTTCAATGGGAAAATGGAGGCCATTTTCGCCCGTTTTCGGTTTCTTGTGCCATAGAGCCCCATGTATTTGAAAACTCCGTCGGCCGTCATTTTCCCATTGAAATTTTTAGAAAATCACTTATAACTTTTGATTAAGTTATCGGATCGGGCTGAAACTCTGGCATCTGGTTGTGACCTTTAGCGCTAGCTTTGGGCGGAGAATGAGCGTTCGGCGATGCCTAGTTTATTTTTGTGGTAAGAAAGACCGTGTAAATTTTCCTTTGTGACACCCTGTACACTGCCATAGACTATTCTGCACTGGAGCAGGAGGTGTAAGTAAATCGAATGCAGCTCCGTTTCACTATGGTGCCTGGATCGCGACTCCGACTGGTGTGTTTAGCGTCCTATGCTGTCCATACATCAAAAGTGGTCCCGAAGTGGCAACAAATGACGTCACCGAAGCCGGAGTGTCATGCCGTAGCCATTCGCGATCCTGGCGGTTGGCCGCAGAAATGCTGGCGAAAAGCCCGACTGAACGCGAGTGTCGCTGTCGTCACGGCGTCCCAACTGTTTACTGCCGTAGCTTCCGTGGACTGTCGAAGTAAAGAGCGACCTGCAGCAGAACAGGCGTCTTCGACATACACCACATCTGCTGGGACGCCGCCAGGGTCGCGACCGGCGACAGCATGACACTATGACGTCATCAGGCTGAAATCGAGGGACCACTTTTTTGCACACTGTAAACACAGCAGTCGGAGACGCGTTCCAGGCACCATAGTTTCACTAACTCCGACCGCACCTACCTAGAGCGGAAGGCCGGGAATCTCCGCGCGTGACGTCACGCTAGTCGGCCTAGGCGAAGCCTAAAGGCGCCGCGGAGCAGCGCTCAAGGGTAGCAATTACTCCAGTTTTTCAGCACAAACGCGTGTTTATTGACTCGCGCTTTAGATATTTCGAGCAAAACGATAGTCACTGCGCATGCTAGAATATCCACATCAATTTTTTGTTAACGTGGCCAGTTTTCATTTTTTAGATTTGTTGTTTGTTTTTAAAACATTGTCGTTA